TTGGAAAGAAGTAGATCTTTATCTAGATGTGTCATACCTGGACGTCAAAAATTTTTGAGTGGTTCACTTATACCAGAGAATGTTCTTTCCCCTTCTAGAAAAGCTAATGGTGATGGGGACAGGTAATGTTTGTACTTCTGGGGGTTTTCTTTTGGTGCTAATGTGATTGTTGCTATCTTATTTTGCATAGTAACTCTTTAATGGGTGTCATGTCTAGGCCTGATTCATGTAGTTAGCCTGTAGCTGAATATTCTTGAAGTCCTTGCCAATATATTATTCATTTATATTGATAATGTTGGCCTAGTGATATAACAGTAAGCATTTAACTGGTAACAATACGACCATAATTATATTGAGGAAAGCAAAACGAAATATACACTTCTCATACAAAGTGGATCATGGATAAGGGTTTATTAGATCTTCTTCTTCTGATAAGGGTTGATTCCTGTATCTCAGTTTTTTTTTTTTGATAAATGATTGATAATTTATTTATGATAATCAAAATGAAGTTACAATACAGCCTGCCCAAAGGAGAGGCACAAGCTGGTACCTCTCCACAACAATAACAAAGTACTACATCAGACTAAGAAATGAAAGTTTACACAACAATAACAAAATACTACAAGGATTGAAGTTAGCCAAGCAACTAGGAATGAGGCATATTGAGGTTGAAGGGGATTCCAAGGTGATCATCTCTTGGGCTAAAAACAATAGAACTACTCCATGGACTTTCAAACAAGTGATAAGGGAAGTGGAAAAGGTTACAAGGGAGGTAGAGGCAGAATTCAAATGGGTTAGAAGGAGCGCAAATGGGCTAGCTGATTTGGGCTGCAATGTAAAAAGGGACAGAAATATGTAATAGTGTGGGACTTCTAGCCCCATATACAAAGTTGTAAAACTTTTTTAACTTAAATTTCAAATAAAATTCTCTTTTAATGATAAAAAAAAAGTTTACATAGCTGCCCAGAATAAATGTTCCCTTGATATCCCTTGCTTAGCTAACCCATTCGCCATGGTATTAGCTGTTCTACCCACCCACTAATAATTAACATTCATGTTCCTTGAAAACCAATTGGCTTTCCTCATAATATCCCTGTAGCACCAAATAACTGAAGCTGGATTTTTTAACCAACCCACAACGACTTTGGAGTCTCCTTCAATAAGCAAATTCTGAACTCCTAACTGGTCTGCAATCTGAATACCTTGTACTGCCGCTTGAAGCTCAGCTCTAATAGAATCTCCAATACCCACGGAGCCTGCAAATAAAGCTAATATGTTACTGTCTTTATCTCTCAGCACCCCACCTATCCTTGACGGACCCGGATTTCCTTGGCTGCTACCATCAAAATTCAGCTTTGTCCAGCCTTCTGAAGGAGGCACTCACACAGATGGTACCCTGTTCTTCCTGTAACTTCTATTAGCCACAACAATCCAATTCCTCCAAATGTCATCAAAGGAATATATTTTAAAGAAATCCAATGATCTCAGCCAATGGATTGCCCTGGTCAAATTGCAATCCTTTACGTTCTGAATATTTCTCTCATTCTCTTGGAAAATCCTCACATTTCTTTCTTCCCAAATTGTCCACAAAGCAGCAGCTCTAATGCACCTCCACATAATTTTATCAATTTTTGTGGGCCACACAAAGAAGGAAGGGTCAAAGATCTGATCTACAGCTGTGATCAAATTCCATCTGCAACCAAACAAAGCAAAGATCCAACCCCAAATAGCATCAGAAAAAGAACAATAGTAAGTGAGAGCAACCCTCACCATTAGCCCTGCAAAGTACACACCAATTAGGAGACAGACACATAGAAGGCCTTCTCTCTTCTGCAATAAGTCTAAAGTGTTGATTTTCCTATAGAACACCTCCCAGCAGAAAATGCTAATTTTAGGAGGTACAGGTTTAGACCAAATCTCCTTAGTTGGGAAACCCATTTGTCCCGAGGGAGAGCAAAGAGACTTAAAGAAAGAGGCACACGTGAAGTATCCTTTTGGATTAGGGGACCAAAGTCTCACATTAGATCTTAAAGGGTCCGTAAAAACATTTTCAAGTAGTGACAAAAGGTCTGAAACACGAGAGAGTTCATGATCCCTCAATCCCCTATGAAACCCAAAGTCCCAATTTAGAGAGGATGGAGAGATAGATGTTGGAAGAAAGTGAGATTGCTTTACCCTTGTAGCGAGAAAGGGAATGGAGAGAAGGGAAAGTGTCTTTAGGGGCAGAATTGCCCACCCAGATGTCTTCCCAAAACAAAACAGAATTACCAGAACTGATATCATACCTTAACGTGGCTCGACGCGATACACCAACATCCCATCCATTTCTTGAATTGCCATGTATACTATCAATCACCTCATGCCATAGTCTCTCCTGGTCTAAGGGCCATCTCCACAACCATTTTCCTAGGAGCGCTTTATTCTTCAAAACTAAATTCCCTAGTCCCAACCCACCCTCCTCTTTTCTCCCAAATAGTCCATACTGTAGCTGCTCTCACTGCCTTCCATATAAATTTTCTCCTTTTCTTCCGTTGACACAGGAAAGAGGGGCTGAATAGACTTACCACATCCTGTGGGGGAGCCCATCTGCATCCAAAGAGAGAACAAACAACATTCCAAATACCAGAAGCAAAAGAGCAGGATAATAGTAAGTGGGTTAGAGTTTCACCACATCCC